CAACAATCACACAACACACCCTAACATCACCTTTTCACATCCTCACACGGTCCTCTTCCCGTCCATACCTTCCAATTCACACCTCGTCGCGATCCTGGCCTCCGACCGACCGTGCCGCTCGACAGCAAGCTCCTCAATCCGGGATGGCATTAGCACCTGGAGAAGCTCACGAGTCAGACCAATCCGACACCACAAAGCGGCGATGTATGTCTTCGTGGAAAGCTACGAGGGCAACTGAGTTGGAAATGTGTTTGACTCAGCGGGGAACAGTACGGCAAATGGTGAGCGTTACCAACAGTATCCTGCGCCGAATGAGCAGTGTTGCGCAGAATTAGCAGTGTTGCGCTGAATGAGCAATGTGTGCATGTGCGTGCACAAGGGCAATGTGGCAAAGGGGCAAAAGAGCAAAGACGCCGCGAAGCACGGCTCGCTCACGACCGACACGGAGAGGTATCGGATGTGAAACGATTGCAAGGAATTTGCCCCCAGGCAGGATTGAACTACCGACCTTCCGCTTACTAAGCGGGTGCTCTACCACTGAGCTATAGGGGCTCTTACGAAAGAGCAAGCCGACCGCATTTTCTTCACCTCGATAATACGAATTACACACACCAACAATCACACAACACACCCTACATCACCTTTTCACATCCTCACACGGTCCTCTTCCCGTCCATACCTTCCAATTCACACCTCGTCGCGATCATGGCCTCCGACCGACCGTGCCGCTCGACAGCAAAGCTCCGTCATTCCGGGATGGCATTAGCACGTGGGAGAAACTCACGAGTCAGACCAATTCCGACCACCACCAAAGCGTCGACGTATGTCTTCGGTGGAGAACTACGAAGTGCAGCTGAATGAGCAATGTGTGAATGTGCGTGCATAAGGGCAATGTGGCAAAGGGGCAAAAGAGCAAAGACGCCGCGAAGCACGGCTCGCTCACGACCGACACGGAGAGGTATCGGATGTGAAACGATTGCAAGGAATTTGCCCCCAGGCAGGATTGAACTACCGACCTTCCGCTTACTAAGCGGGTGCTCTACCACTGAGCTATAGTGGCTCTTACGAAAGAGCAAGCCCGACCGCATTTTCTTCACCTCGATAAGAGAAAAATAAAAACGAATAACACACACCGACAATCACCCAACACACCCTACATCACTTTCTCACATCCTCACACAGTCCTCTTCCCGTCCATACCTTCCAATTCACACCTCGTCGCGATCATGGCCTCCGACCGACCGTGCCGCTCGACAGCAAGCTCCTCAATCCGGGATGGCATTAGCCCCTGGAGAAACTCACGAGTCAGACCAATCCGACACCACAAAGCGGCGACGTGTGTCTTCGTGGAAAGCTACGAGGGCAACTGAGTTGGAAATGTGTTTGACTCAGCGGGGAACAGTACGGCAAATGATGAGCGTAATTAACAGTATCCTGCGCCGAATGAGCAGTGCTGCGCTGAATTAGCAGTGCTGCGCTGAATGAGCAATGTGTGAATGTGCGTGCACAAGGGCAATGTGGCAAAGGGGCAAAAGAGCAAAGACGCCGCGAAGCACGGCTCGCTCACGACCGACACGGAGAGGTATCGGATGTGAAACGATTGCAAGGAATTTGCCCCCAGGCAGGATTGAACTACCGACCTTCCGCTTACTAAGCGGGTGCTCTATCACTGAGCTATAGGGGCTCTTACGAAAGAGCAAGCCGACCGCATTTTCTTCACCTCGATAATACGAATTACACACACCAACAATCACACAACACACCCTACATCACCTTTTCACATCCTCACACGGTCCTCTTCCCGTCCATACCTTCCAATTCACACCTCGTCGCGATCATGGCCTCCGACCGACCGTGCCGCTCGACAGCAAGCTCCCTAATCCGGGATGGCATTAGCCCCTGGAGAAACTCACGAGTCAGACCAATCCGACACCACAAAGCGTCGACGTATGTCTTCGTGGAAAGCTACGAGGGCAACTGAGTTGGAAATGTGTTTGACTCAGCGGGGAACAGTACGGCAAATGGTGAGCGTTACCAACAGTATCCTGCGCCGAATGAGCAGTGTTGCGCAAAATTAGCAGTGTTGCGCTGAATTAGCAGTGCTGCGCTGAATGAGCAATGTGTGAATGTGCGTGCATAAGGGCAATGTGGCAAAGGGGCAAAAGAGCAAAGACGCCGCGAAGCACGGCTCGCTCACGACCGACACGGAGAGGTATCGGATGTGAAACGATTGCAAGGAATTTGCCCCCAGGCAGGATTGAACTACCGACCTTCCGCTTACTAAGCGGGTGCTCCACCACTGAGCTATAGTGGCTCTTACGAAAGAGCAAGCCGACCGCATTTTCTTCACCTCGATAAAAAAAAAAAAAAACGAATTACACACACCGACAATCACCCAACACACCCTACATCACTTTCTCACATCCTCACACAGTCCTCTTCCCGTCCATACCTTCCAATTCACACCTCGTCGCGATCATGGCCTCCGACCGACCGTGCCGCTCGACAGCAAGCTCCTCAATCCGGGATGGCATTAGCCCCTGGAGAAACTCACGAGTCAGACCAATCCGACACCACAAAGCGGCGACGTGTGTCTTCGTGGAAAGCTACGAGGGCAACTGAGTTGGAAATGTGTTTGACTCAGCGGGGAACAGTTCGGCAAATGGTGAGCGTTACCAACAGTATCCTGCGCCGAATGAGCAGTGTTGCGCAAAATTAGCAGTGTTGCGCTGAATGAGCAATGTGTGAATGTGCGTGCACAAGGGCAATGTGGCAAAGGGGCAAAAGAGCAAAGACGGCACGAATCACGGCTCGCTCACGACCGACACGGAGAGGTATCGGATGTGAAACGATTGCAAGAAATTACCCCCAGGCAGGATCGACCTACCGACCTTCCGCTTACTAAGATGGTGCTCTATCACTGAGCTATAGTGGCTCTTACGAAAGAGCAAGCCGACCGCATTTTCTTCACCTCGATAAAAAAAAAAAAAAACGAATTACACACACCGACAATCACCCAACACACCCTACATCACTTTCTCACATCCTCACACAGTCCTCTTCCCGTCCATACCTTCCAATTCACACCTCGTCGCGATCATGGCCTCCGACCGACCGTGCCGCTCGACAGCAAGCTCCTCAATCCGGGATGGCATTAGCCCCTGGAGAAACTCACGAGTCAGACCAATCCGACACCACAAAGCGGCGACGTGTGTCTTCGTGGAAAGCTACGAGGGCAACTGAGTTGGAAATGTGTTTGACTCAGCGGGGAACAGTACGGCAAATGGTGAGCGTTACCAACAGTATCCTGCGCCAAATGAGCAGTGTTGCGCAAAATTAGCAGTGTTGCGCTGAATGAGCAATGTGTGCATGTGCGTGCACAAGGGCAATGTGGCAAAGGGGCAAAAGAGCAAAGACGCCGCGAAGCACGGCTCGCTCACGACCGACACGGAGAGGTATCGGATGTGAAACGATTGCAAGGAATTTGCCCCCAGACAGGATCGAACTACCGACCTTCCGCTTACTAAGCGGGTGCTCTATCACTGAGCTATAGGGGCTCTTACGAAAGAGCAAGCCGACCGCATTTTCTTCACCTCGATAATACGAATTACACACACCAACAATCACACAACACACCCTACATCACCTTCTCACATCCTCACACGGTCCTCTTCCCGTCCATACCTTCCAATTCACACCTCGTCGCGATCATGTCCTCCAACCGACCGTGCCGCTCGACAGCAAGATCGTCATTCCGAGTTAACATTAGCACCTGGAGAAACTCACGAGTCAGACCAATCAGACACCACAAAGCAGCGACGTGTGTCTTCTTGGAAAGCTACGAACGCAACTCAGTTGGAAGTATGTTTGGTTCAACGGGGAACAGTGCGACCAATGGTGAGCGTAATTAACAGT